CACAATTCGCTTTTAAAATACAGGTAAGTTTTAAGGCTTTATTTTCCAGAGCAATGGTTTTCTATCAGCTGTGCACTCCTGCCTTTTGCAATAATTTCTGATTTTGTTGGCAATTTCCTGTCACATCTGACAGAAGATTAGAAGCCTCAAGGTTTTAATAAAAGGCTTAATTGGTGGGTGGGTTGAAGGGAAGCAGAACATGCTAACCTGGATGAGGGCAAAGACTGTAAAATGAGTTCATCCCTTATTGGAAACCAGAGTACCTCCATGGGATATTTAACTGTGGACACTTACAAAGCAGGTAGAACCTGGCTTCACTGGCTCTCTAAYATCACAACTGCTATTTTGTGTGTGTGCTGGACAGCATGACCATCGCTAACTAGAAATACAGTGCAGTTGCATCATGTGCTGCACCTTGATGATGACATAAATGCATTGAATAAGCTGAAATAACAGCATTGGCAATACTGCCTAAAGATCTTACAGGGTAAGTAGTGACTCTTCAAGAGCAATTTGAACTAGAAACATTTGTACATGTGTTGTAAATGTCTAGTAACAGATCAGTCTAATTAGTTTCAAGCTATTTTCAAGGCAAGACAGAAGTCAAGCTTCATGCTGCCTTGCCAGGAAAGGAGGAAGTAACTAATTTCTAAGCTGCTGTCTTGCACAGGCTGTGTTGAGTCGGTGAAGAACTTACTTCCACTTAGGTTTTGTTCTCTCTTTTTTTTGGTACCAGTCGTTGCATTGTCTGATTTTGGGCTAAACACAAAAGTATTCTGCTGAAAATGGGTACTAATCTATTGTTTTGCCCAGCAAACACAGGCAAAACATAATTTTCTTGCATCTTACTAGACTGCTTGTGAAATTCAGCGGTTATACATACCGGTCTTCTTTTATACACCAGGTATATGAAATGTAAAAGGTTGACAACCAAAAACACAGCATTCCAGATCATTATGTCCAAGGCACAACGATAGAGTGTRGCCCAAATGATGAATAATGCACATCCTGGGAAAATTAAAAAGAAAAAAAAAAAGGAAGTCAGATTTCACCACACAATAAACATTCCTAGAAAACCATCAAGAATATGTCTATTGATTATAATTACAGTGAAAAGCAATATATTCTACAAACTTTAGTACAGTTAACTTTTCTGGATGAACACATGCAGCAACAGCTAATCACTGCAATGCTGCAAACAGGCACTGAGGTCAGGTTGACAAACTGCAGCCCTGTTATATGGAACCACAATACTGAAACGACAGCGGTTCAGATCTGGCTGGGGAAAGCAGAAAGGTACAGGCCATCATGATCTGTTAGTAGAAGAGAGATGGTGTGAAATTAGGCACCTCACAAAAATTTATTTCTTGTGTTGCATTAATTAGACAAAAAAAAGGCCCAGAAATGAAGCTTCACATCTAACTAGTGAGCAAGATTTCCATAAAAACTTCCTAAAGTCATATGCAGATATTTTTGAAAATTAAAAGAAACTATCAYTGCTGATGTGACAAGGTCACATCAGGAACCTGATTTCTCCTGTGTAACATCAAAGAGAAAATTTCCAAATGCTTACTCTTTTTTTAGTTGCCTTACTTTGAATAAYGACAATTGCTTTAAAAGATAAGGCATCCTGTATGATTAGGGATTCCATTTTCAGCCTACAAAGACAATATTTATCAAATGATGGATTATGCATCAGTGAGTCTCTCCCAGATAACTGTGAGCCTACCATCTGACAGAGGAGGAGAGGTCACAGATACATTTTTCCTTAARTTTCATGCAAAACCAAAAAGGAGACGGTGCTAAATGAGTGTTCGTATCCCCTTTCTCCCTGAAGATGATRTTGAATTAATGAACTCAGCACTATCTAGTCTGACTGGGCTGTTAGCTGATGAGGCAGCACTTACATACAGATCAGAAAAACCAAAATATAGGGACTCTTGATCTGCTTATTAATTAGACTGCAAGGCACAGGAGGATCCAATGTCTGGAAGTATTGAGCAGCAATATTGCAGAGCAGCACAGAGGTGGGGCAGGGTCAAAGCAAGGGGAACAGGCCCCTAGGAACCAAGCCTCRTTACTCATTCTGCCCACTGAGTAAATCTGCTTCCTGCTGCCACCTCAGCTCACCAAGCTCTGATTCCATAGCTGCTCAAAATACTACAAGACCTACAGATCAAAGTGGCAGGCTCAGCAAGTGCAGAGCCCCATTTTTTTAAAAGCCAAAATAAAAGGTTTTGCAATGCTCAGACCCTTGGTCACCAGTGCAGTCTGTTTTAAGAAGTTACCCTATACTAACTACATGATAGAAAAGGCAAGATCATTGTTCATTCAAAACAGAAGTTCTATCATAAAATTGACCCACATTATTATGCCAATAAGCACTCATTTAAAAATACTTAAACATGCTCTTGTTGGATTGGATTYATTTTCCTTACGCTGCAATGACTCACTATTCCTTCTTTGATCACAAGGATCTTGTCCCACACAAGGTACAGAGGCWTTGAAATAGCTGTGGGACTGTAATGTTACAAATCAAACCACATTTGCTCAGTCTCAAGCATGCCAAATTTAGGTTTTCATCTCAAGTCAGATTCTGGTGTCACAAGATTCCTACAGTGGCAGAAGAAATATGATTGATATCAAAGCACAGGATACACTCACTACAGAAAGGCTGCACTTCTAAATCAGTGATGAAAAAAGTGCTGGTGGCTCTCAAGTGCCACAGGTTTGTGGCCACATTAAAAGAACACATGGGGTCACAACAAGATTCTCAAGGAAAACCTCACCACCTCAGCCACATTAAGCCAGTACACCCGCCAACACACAGTTCCAGTATTTACCTAAAATCTAAAATAAAGGCCTTAATGATCACACATCACTGATCTGAAATTAGTGAATTTTTAATATCCAGTTATATCTGATGTAAATGGTGTCCACTTGCCCTCAAGCTGACATCATTATAGGCTTGAAACTGCAAGTTACAGTTCTAGGAAGTTTTAAGAGCCAAGGGTTATATAAACTTTCTAGAAAAGGATTGTTAGGGTCAAACCAGATCCCATCTTAGACCAAAAACACCTTCWTCAGAGCACAAAGGCCATTAATAGAGGCAGCAGTTTCACCATAAGCTGCAGGGATCAGCTCCATAATGGTCAAACCCAGCCACCTCTGTCACATTTCTGTCTCCAGAATAATTCTCCTACCTATGGTGAGCAGGCCTCGCAGAAGAATCATGTGAAGATTCAAAGTAGTTGGAATAACCAGTCCAACTGCAAAGCAAATATTTGCCACATGGAAAACAAGATGATGAATCTCTTTCCAGTTTTCACATGCAGTCTCATTGAGAGGATCAAGGGTGGCATTTTTTAAGTCTGGAACAAAACCGAGTGGAGTAACAGTGAGTGGGCTCATTGCTGTAGCATTCATCTTGGAGACTCCTGCAAGGAGAACAAAAAAAATTCACTATGCAGCAAACTGAAACGTAGTAGACACACACATCGATTTTAGTGCTRTTTTCTCTCTTCCCAAGATATATTTTCCATTATTATTCATGGAAAAAAACTAAAAATGCTTTAAAAGGGTAAGCTAGGTTGATAGTCCAGCAATGCTTTGCTATCTCTTTCACCTAAATTGTAGGTACCAAACCAGAAAGGCCGCTAAGTCTGCTGCCAGTCTTTTAGGRAAATCACTTGGTCTGCATAGTTTGAACAAGCTTGCAAGACCCTTATTTGTGTGTGGAACTCCTGGAGAAAATGAGGCAGCTAAAGACTATTTCTAATCTAAATATACATAGGATTTTTTGTGTTGTTGTAATAATAAATGTAACATACATTCCTTTTGAATCAATTACTTGGAAAAAAATCCTGTGGGCAAATCCCAATACAAAACAAAAAATTACTATTAAAAACAAGTTACAGGGAGAAACTGGAAGATTTCAAGACACTGTGTTTAGGATCTCAAAAGCCAGTCTCTCTAGGTAACTGCAGAYAGTGTCACAAGCTCTCCAGTAACTCTTCTCAACCCGGAGCAGGTCCCAGCTGGAGGAACAAGACTGCTCCTAGACATGTGTGMTGTCACACACAGGAGAACCCTGCTTCCAGCAAGGCATGTACAGCCTCTCACTGCCACAGCTGTAGAAACCATGTGGAGGTRGGCTTGAATCTCGTTAATGAAATATATGTAGTTCATTACTGAGCAAACAAGCCCCATAATGCACAATATGGCAGGATCTGCGTTCAGTTAAATTCTGTAGAGACAATGCACATCCTTGATGAGTGTCATCGCTAACTGGCGATGTAATTCAACTGCTCAGCAGACAATTTTGAGTCACAGTTAATACACTCTATTTCCTGCAGACTTGAATATACTCTGAAGCATCTCTGTTAATTGAGAGTACTCCATAGGCTGTGAAGTAATTTTGAGTTTCTTCACTCATTCCTTTAATTATTTTCTTCCAATCAGCCTGTGTAAAGGGCATAAGCAAGCTGGACAGTTTTCAAAACTAATCAGGGTTTTAGACCCCTTTTTAAAGCAGTGTGAAGAAAGAAAGCCTCAAGCCTCTCTTACAGTTCATCTCTGGTGCCCAGAGCCTGTCACAGCTAAGGTATGCTACAGAATGCGCAGAGGCATCTTGCAGGATCAAACACTAGCAAAGATGTGCATCCATATCTGGATTGAAATTACTTTCAAGGAAAAAATTATCTAATCCTTGACACAATTCACTTATTTCTTAAAAAGAAAATCACTTTCCTCTTTTCATTCCTACATTAGTTATTCACAAAGATTAATTAAAATGTGGGGGTTCGTCAAACTCTACACTTAACTGTTACCAAACATCAGGCCTACACAAAGACACTCTTACTTTCTTTCAGCTCTTTCACATGAGTTCATCAAGAGAGTCATTAGAGCAGTTTCACTGTCCTCACAAAGCCTCTCACACAGAGAGCCAAAGCCTGAGCCCGTGTGAGGCAGCAGGACTGGCATTTTAACGTGCTTGTAAACACAGGGGAATTGCTAACTGGATAACTATGTCTGTGCTCATCTTACACACATCTCATCACAGTACTCCTGTTGTTTCCAAACAATAGAAACTCCCTACACTAAAACACCAGGATCTCTAGATCTTTTTCCAAAAAAAAAAATCATCAGCTGACTTTCTACCTATATTGAGCCTTTCATTGCCCAGTCATCTGCCAGGAAAGGAATAATTTAAAATGCCAATGGAACAAGTAAAGACAACCCAACTCACATAGAGATACTGAACCAGCCCTAAGTCTTCCAACTCAACATCAAAACAGGCTACAAGAAGTAATTTCAGCTGCATCTGATCACAAATCAAAAAGCAGACTTCCATATGCTTGAATTTTAACAGCAAAATTTTGTACCGCTCCACTGAGGAAATAGAGGGTACCTTATCCTTAASACTCAGCTGTAAAGCATCATTCATGAGAAGACTGGAAACCCAATGAATCAAATTAAATACACAGCACCTGAAAATCTCCTTCTCACAGSCCAGCCAAAGCACTGGTCCCCTTGCTCTTCACAGACACTGATGCAACAAACCACCAGCCATAAACTGAAATAATGGGAAGGATTTTCTCCAACAAGTGTTGACCAAGTAAGTTAAAGCATCTGCAGTTGTAAGATGTTCAGCACTTTTGAAAGTCAGGGTTACCTACTCTGTTGCCTAAATTAGAGCCCAGGGATCTAAATCTACCCATCTCCAGTTTTTTTATAAGATTTGTCTCTAATTCTTCAAAGTCTTTATACAAATGCATTTGAATTTCACTTCCTACTCAAACAATGATTACAGCTCCCCTAACTGGAAAACAGCAGAAACGTGCAGAACTTCTCCATCCTGATAGTATTTTAAAGCTGACAGAAATAGTTTGATGCTATCTGCAAAATGACACAGGGACAGACTTTGACAGGGGCTCTGGATTCCAACTAGGGGGCCTGCTTGAGAGTMAACAGAAAAGACAGGCAGTCAGGGCTACAAGCTGTATCCTGAAGTGTTTGTCTACAGGTGACACCAGAAGGACAAATACCCAAAATGTCAAAAAACATGTCTAATTTTTAGAACATTTCTTTAGTCCTAGCACCTACTGTTGACCAATAATACTGAAAAATGAGGAAAAAGGCTACAGTTCCACAAATGAACAAGCAATTGCCATTTTTTACCTTCAGTGACCTCAGAGAAGCAAAAAWTAATTTTGTAAGAACAGATCTGAAGATTCAGATTCTACAGAATTTGTAGATTCAGGCCTTAAAAACTTTGATTTAGGGGTATGTCTACTAAGGATTAATATAGCACAAGACTATATAGTCATATGCTTAAGTCTTCAATGAAAAGACATGTATTAATATCAGGAGTTAARAAACCAACATAGTCAAATAAATTTGGAAAGTTGGGGTAAAACAGCATCCACTGAAATGAAAGGTTTATGGAGCATAAGACAAATCATTTAAAGAGCATTTTGTAATATCCAGTATATATCCATCATATGGATTTAGATTTACCAGAAATTTACCAGAAATTTACAAGAATTTGAAAATTCAGAGGAACGAGAACTCAAGACAATTTGCTGGCCAAACAGGAGAGAAAAAAAGAGGATATTAAAAAACAAACAAAAAAACCCCAACTCACTGACCCTTTAATATTGAACCTAACAGATACTAGTATAGTTAACAAAAAAGCCTACTAATTTTTTTCTGTGCATGAACTTGATAGAAAATTAAGGTAATACATGCTGCTCYTAGGTCAGAAAACACAAATTCTCAGAATATAAACAAGGTGAACTTACTCTAGGATTTTGCTATACTCAACAACAGCTTTATACAAGAGAACAGACCTCTGAAAGGCATTCCCAAAAKATTTGGTCTGCAAATATTCAGACACAATGATGACCTTGAAAAAAAAGTGGTAATTTTACGGATACCTACAGARCATTCACAGAAGACAGACACAGCAGAAAATTGTAAAGCAGCTGGTTCTAGTAGGAGAACCAGTCAGCCAAGCTGATACAGGACAGTGCTGAGTGTCCCACTCACGTCATTACCCACTTTGGTGAGATTATTCGTATCCCACAGCTTTTCTGGTCAACATTATTCAAGTGAGCTTCTTATGCTTGAGTATGTTTCTGCAACTTTACAGTCAATGCGATTAAAAAAAAAAACCAACAAAAAACCAAAAGCTCTACATTGTTTTTAAYGATATCTGCAGAACTTTTAACTACTTTTGTATGGTCTCATAGCACAGAAGTTGCATAGAAAATTAAGGCAATCAATAATTCTCTAGTGAGCTGAAGATAAACTACTAGAGGTAGCATAGCTGARTTAATTACAGTTTAAGTTACCAATTTCCCCTTTTACAATGCAGTAGAAATGAACAGGAAAGTGCTATAAGAAAAGATGAATTTCAAGATGCTTCTTGCAGCAAATCTAATTCAATTAAATGTTAAGTACACAAATTTTAGTCTCTTTAGTCACTTTAGAGAAAATTTAGCATGTTCGTTCTGCAGTCAACAAAGTATCCACACCGTGAGGAAAACTTCCCCCGCCGCTGCTCAGCCCCGCTGCTCCCAGGTTGAGCGAACCCGAGGGTACAAACACCCCTGGGCTCGTTTCCCCCTCTGTTTGCAGCGCTCACGGATGCGCCGAGCGCCCGAACCGAGGGGCGCGCCCGCAGCTTCCCGCCCGCTCTGCGCTCCGAACATTCATTTTAGCCCGCAACGCGCGGACACCAMATAACCATTGACACCAAATAACGGTGAAAATAATTAAAAAAAATTGCAAAGAAAGGAGTAACTGGTCCCTTTTCACCCAAAGAGCCACTTCCAAAGATGCAAAGATCCGTCTGTCCTCCCCGCGGGCAGGRCACAAGCGGAGCCCCCGGTCCCGGCTGTGCCCGCAGCCAGGCATGGAGAGCCCGAGGGGACCGAGAGAGACAGGACCGCGCGTCCTTCCCGCTGACCGGGCGGCTCCACAGCCGAGCCTGATGCCCACCCCCTGCCACCCCCGGTGGAGCGGCACTCCCAGCCCCGGTGGCTGCGGGACCCGCCGATGCTTGTGCCCGCCGCTGTCCCCTCACCCGCGGCGCCGCCGGCGCACGGAGCGCCCCTCACCTGCCCCGCGCCCGTGGAAAAGTTTCCCGGCCGCCCGGACGGGATGGGACGGGGACGGCCCGGGGCTGCTGCTCGTCGCCGCCAGCCCCGCGTCCCGCGGCGGGCAAGGAGCCGCGGCTGTGACTAAAATAGGCAGAGGAGCCGCGGGAGCTGCGGGCGGCGCCAGCACCGAGCGGCCACAGCGCGCAGGCGCCTCCGCGGGCCCGGGGCTGAGGGCGGGCCGGGAGCGGCGGGAGCGGGGCTGGGGCTGAGGGCGGGCCGGGAGCGGCCCCGGCCCCGCGCCCCCTCTGACCCCCGGGAGTGTCACCACGGCC